GATGATGGCAATCGAAAGATTTTTAAACGTGACATTAATGAAACAATTTCTTTTAAACATATCAAACAACACCAAAGATTGAATTACAGTAAAACGAAAAATTATTGAAAATATATCAAAGAGAATGTTGAGAAGTTAACCAGCATGAATATTTTTGACAAATTCACCTTTTCATGTTGCAATAATTAAGGAAAACAAAATACTTTAAACTTATCATAGAACTAATGTTCAGAAATGTTGTAATGCTATTCCAATTAAATTAAAAGCTGAAATCTTTTTTTTACATGTGGTATTATGCCGTGATGATCGTGACACAGTTTTTTTTTCTGACTGTCTTGCTATATGTTGGTATAGAATCTTAGGAGAGATCAGTCCTTGAAATAAAGAATGTGTATTCTTTTGATTATGACACGAAATGGCTGAAGCAGACGTGAAAAGTTAATAAAGCAGGGGAGACACTGATGATATAGCAGTAAACAGATGAATGCTGAACTGTTACATCCTCTACAGAACGGACTGTACATCTGCCGTGTAAACAACAAAGGGAGTACGTGCGTAAACCCACATTTACCAGGATTCACGTATTAACAGAAATCTCAAAAAGACGCTACAAACAATCCTAACTCACAGTTTGTATAAGACATATTCATATTTCTACTACGATGTGTTTAGTTATAAGGACTTTGCAATCTATTGCTTGCACTGTTTCATTTGATACATGCGTTTTTGTTTGACTTTCGTTTATGTTAAGAATCCTAACGTTAACCAAAGAAGGACGTTCAGTATTTCCAAGCCTTGTCTGAACATCCGAGTAATTACAATCCATAAACAGCCCCTATATGTTATTGTTGTGACTTTACCTACTACTCTGCCATCTAACATTAAATTAATTATTTGTTGTAGAATATCGTGTGTAACCTTACAACTCCACTACCTGGATTCACAAGGAGACAAAGTTCTCAAAGAAATGAAATCATCTAGGGACATTATATATCCGTACAAACCCGATTCTTTTCAACACCATCGATGCATATGTTAACTGTAAATGAAAACATATTACACCACAATGCTTATCATGCATACCCGACATACCCTTATAACATACACCAACACACACATTCCATAAAGCCTCGATTACACACAAAACCACAGTTACTTGATGAACGTTTAAACAAAACCACAGTTACTGGATGAACGTTTAAACAAAACCACAGCCATTGGATGAACGTTTAAACAAAACCAATCGAAAGTCATCGTCTTATCAGATGCACTAATGAAGGAAGAATTTTATCACCAGATGTTCAAAAACATAGAAAGATTGCCTAAACGTAAGTTAAGCTTCTGAAAAAAATAGCCAGTACTGATACGAGTTCGTGCGTGATATAGAAGATGTAAGACGGGCACGTATTAACCGAACAGTACTGAAATGACTAAATCATAACACAAACTAAAGGTAGCATTCATTACATGCAACTTTTAACAGTGTGGGTTACAATGTATCACCGAAATTAAATCAAAATATAATGCCACGTTCACCTCTTTATACGCATGCTTGTTCAGTGTGTATTTCAGAAGATATTGTGAGGGAACCGTGTCGCCTTCCATCAATTCAGATCATTTCAATATCAGATCTGATTGTAAATGGATCTGGAGATTTTATCAGGGTGGATAAATCTCAGGTTTATGTGTACTTAGTGTGGATATATACTTTAACAATAGGTTATGAGAGAATGATTACATCTCAAGTCAGACATAACATCTCTGAGTTGTAATGTAATTCTCCCTTGCTGGCCGATATAACACTACACTGACAGTGCATGACAGAACAGGGGTTGCCATCAGAACACAGGTCGGGGCCATAGGTACACAACATGAGATGTGCACCTCGAGGACAGGCAGATTAATGAGAATATTCAAAGGATTAGCCACATGCTCACGAGTCAAACAAACAAAAAGGCTCAGCAAAAACAAATTAGCATAAATAAAACAAGATGACCTTGGCTTACGACAATGAAAATTGAATGAAATCATGCAATGAAGCAAAGATAGGCAAAAACTATTAAGCGACATACGGAAATATTTTGAGTATGTATACACTGAAAGGTTTATCAATAGTTAGAACACAGGAAGCAATGCTTGGTAAGCCAGGAGTATGACGTGAATAGATAACAAGGCGTCTATAAATGTGTGGCAAAGATACTAGTCACTCGTAACCTACGTGGTGCTAGTCTTTGCTCCGATGAGGCTCTCTGAAGCGAGGACCCCCGCTTAGGTCTGTCAACGTAGTACGCATCAGACGGACTAGTTGAGTACATAGACGGTGCTCCCATCCACAATCCTGCGCTCCCGACCTTTGGAAGCCGGGGGTCAACGCGTTGCTCCATTCTGGGGTCAATGCGAGGATCAAGTCGAGGATCAAGACGGGGGTCAAGGCCATTACCGAAGTTGCTATTTTTACTTAAACTTGCATCGGTGGTTGAATTCAAATGCTGAAAGCTTCTCCCACGCTTTTTGTTATCACGCATGCGCCTGGAAAGAAACATAATTTTGTTATACAAAACGTGCAGCCAAAACCAATTGTTATGCAGTAATTGCCGCCAAAGTTAACCATTCTCCAACATGCGGGTTAACTGATCTCACCTCCAGGCGGGTAAAACACACGCAAAACGTGGTTTTCTGGTAATTCTTTCGATATCCGATTATGTCTTAGTTGTTTCTTGCCATCAACATCATCTTTTGTCCTGTTAAAGTTAACATATGATGACACATAATATCGTTGTAGCCTTTTCGATAAAAATCTCGAAAAACATTACTGTCACTACCAGTTGTTTAACTAGGGACAATGCTTATACAAATTATCCAACAGGGGGCAGTGAATGTCAGTCAACATGCAAACCCTGCCAGGACCTCTTTTGGTTGTCCATATATCTCCGACATTTTGATCAGATGTGAAGGATGAATTCCGACCAATCAATTAAACAACAATAAACTGAACAGAAGCTTGAATTGCTCTGAATCAAATGTCTCCCTGTGTACGTTACAGTTACGAACTTTAGCGCAGTTACTTACTGTAGTTAACAATTACCCACCTCGGCGTTACTTACTGTAGTTTACAATTACCCACCTCAGCGAAACTAACTGTAGTTTACAATTACCCACCACAGCGTAACTAACTGTAGTTAACAATTACCCACCTCAGCGTAACTAACTGTTGTTTACAATTACCCACCACAGCGTAACTAACTGTAGTTAACAATTACCCACCACAGCGTAACTAACTGCAGTTAACAATTACCCACCTCGGCGTTACTAACTGTAGTTTACAATTACCCACCACAGCGTTACTAACTGTAGTTAACACTTACCCACCTCGGCGTTACTTACTGTAGTTTACAATTCCCCACCTCAGCGTAACTAACTGTAGTTTACAATTACCCACCACAGCGTAACTAACTGTAGTTAACACTTACCCACCTCGGCGTTACTTACAAGTTTACAATTACCCACCACAGCGTAACTAACTGTAGTTTACAATTACCTACCACAGCGTAACTAACTGTAGTTAACAATTACCCACCACAGCGTAACTTACTGTAGTTTACAATTACCCACCTCGGCGTTACTTACTGTAGTTTACAATTACTCACCTCAGCGTAACTAACTGTAGTTTACAATTACCCACCTCGGCGTTATTAACTGTAGTTTCAGACACGTTTACAATTACCCACCTCGGCTTTACTAACTGAAGTTTCATACACGTTTACAATTACCCACCGCAGCGTTACTAACTGAAGTTTCATACGAGGTAACAATTACCCACCACAGCGTAACTAACTGTAGTTTACAATTACCCACCTCGGCGTTACTTACTGTAGTTTACAATTACTCACCTCAGCGTAACTAACTGTAGTTTACAATTACCTACCACAGCGTAACTAACTGTAGTTTCAGACACGTTTACAATTACCCACATCGGCTTTACTAACTGTAGTTTCATAGACGTTTACAATTACCCATCTCGGCTTTACTAACTGTAGTTCCATACACGTTTACAATTACCCACCACAGCGTTACTAACTGAAGTTTCATACGAGTTAACAATTACCCACCACAGCGTAACTAATTGTAGTTTAATACACGTTTACAATTACCCACCTCGGCTTTACTAACTGTAGTTTCATACACGTTTACAATTACCCATCTCGGCTTTACTAACTGTAGTTCCATACACGTTTACAATTACCCACCACAGCGTAACTAACTGTAGTTTCATACACGTTTACAATTACCCACCACAGCGTTACTAACTGTAGTTTCATACGAGTTAACAATTACCCACCTTGGCTTTACTTACTGTAGTTTCATACACGTTTACAATTACCCACCTCGGCTTTACTAACTGTAGTT